GTCATTTGAGGAATGGAGATTAGAAGCCATATGATGTACTATTGTGACAGTTGTACAATTACAGTGTGCATCCGTGACACCCTGTTTGCAAAGCTTTCCAAGAACACACAGGGGTCTATTCACAGAGCTACCAAAGGATCTAGCCGTAGCTTCGGCTAATCCTTCGGGTAGCTTTGGCCCCAGGACCCCTTCGGTTCAGGGCTGCTGTACAGGCTATTCACTATAACTCGTACTGCCCCCAAAGTTGGCCGAGGGGCTCAGTCGAGCCGAAGGCACATTAGCCGACAGGCTGCTTCTGACAGCTGGGCGGAGCCAGCCGTCATCTTACGGCTGGCTCCGGCCACTTGCAGAGAGATCAGCGCCCCTGGCTACCATTACACTGATGTGCCATCGGCACATCCGATGGGTTCTGTGTGAAATGACAGAAGGCGTCCCTGGTTACCAAGTAACCAGGGACGCCTTCTGTCATTACACCGCGGCTCCTAAGTACACTGAGAACCTGTCGGAGCTGCTGTAAAATCACAGCAGCTCCGACAGGTTCTCAGTGTGTAATGACACATGGGTGTCCCTGGTTACTAGGTAACCAGGGACGCCCATGTGTCATTACGAGAGCTTGGCAGAGTCGGCAGTGATATGAAAGCTAGCTGTCACTGCTAGCTCCGCCCAATCGTTTTCTATTTTTTTTCTACTTTAACTGTTTTTCTATTTCTATTCAGCGGCATTCAACTATTCACTTTTTGGCATCTATGAGAATAGGCCGAACAGCAGCGAGTAGCCTGCCGGAGGTTCGAACTCCTTCTGCACTGATTTCAGCTGATATACGCCCGTACAAGTCTTAAGTGAATAGCTGAACAGTGTTCGACTCACTTCACTTCGGGTCGGTTGTTCACTCACTACGGCAGCTTTGTGAATAGACCCCACAGTCTTGTCTGTAAACGTTGTGGCAGGCTGTTAATTTACTAGGTAGGAATGATTGAATCAGAAAGAACTGTCTATTTATTAATATTTTATTCTTACTAAATATCAGTAAGACGATTTGACTGATTTACAATGAATAACACAATCTATGAAACCAGGCAATTATGAGGCTCAGTCCTCCTGATATGCCCACGAGTCCCCACGCCATGGAGATATGGTCCCCTACTCACGGTTCTGACCCTCACGGCCTTAGGGTCACCTGGTTATAGCCATTTTAGTTTTCCCACCCGCGATATAGAGTCGCCCACATGTGTTCCATCATATTGTGATATGGGTTCTTCTTTAGTATTGCTTTTATATATTCGTTAAGCATGTCTGGATCGCAGTATGTGTACTGATGCATGATCCCTGTTTCATGTCACATTGGAATATTTATGTATTGACTTTCTTCTGTTTTTTCAATAAAAATCTAACATGCTAAAAAAAAGAAACCAGGCAATTATGTTCAAGTGTACGATTCTTTGAAAATTGAACAAATCCGCATTTATATGTTTAAATTTGCCAACTTCGCTGACTTTCAAACTGATGAATAAATAAATAAATTTTCTCATTATATCTAGTCACCACTGTGTCTGCTAGCAAGAATCAAGGGGGAAGGGTGTGTCATTAATCTGATTTATTTAGGTCTATTTTAAGAAAAACCTACTGCTGAGAGAGAGATAAAACAAAAGTACAAATAGGCCTGCTTTTACATGGCTGCCTTACAGTTATGTGTAAAGTAAGCCTATGTGATGGTTTTTTTATGTGATGAGTATGCAGCCATAATGACATATAATAATCCATCATTACAACTGAACACATTTTTACACATATGCACAACTAATCCAATAACCCTCACTCCTCTACAGGAAGTAACGGTACACACTGATGCTATTTTAAAACATTTGCTTTTGTCTCTGTTTAAAGTGGACCTTTACAAGCAAAATTCAAATCCTACCAATGCATCTATGCTGATTAATAATAACAGAGACATGTTAGATGTAAAATGCTGCGATATTGAAATACTTACACTTGCAGAACATTGCTTTGAAAGTGCAAATTACTTCAGTTTGCCCATGCAATGCATTCTGGGATAGCTTTGTCATTGAAATTCGATCTCGTTTATGAAAAAAAATTAAGAAAGAAAGAAAATGGCTGCGAGATCTTGCGAGATTACTCATTCACTGTGGATATGTAGTTTTGTTTTATCAAATGCACATGCACGTGAATAGTGGCACATCATCAGAAGGGGGTGTGGTCATGGTTCATATTGGATTGTTTACCTTGCTGACGCAAGAAGAAGGCTCGGTAGGAGCTTTAGGTTTTAAAAGAAATGCAACATATTTAAGCTATACTTATAAAAATATGCTGGTATATACAGGTGAAACTCAAATAATTAGAATATCGTGCAAAGTTCATTTATTCCACTAATGCAACTTAAAAGGTGAAACTAATATATGAGATAGACTCATTACATGCAAAGCAAGATAATTCAAGCCGTGATTTGTCATAATTGTGATGATTATGGCTTACAGCTCATGAAAACCCCAAGAACCCCAAATCCACAACCTCAAAAAAGTAGATTATTACATGCAATCAATAAAACAAGGATTGTACATAGAACAATATCGGACCTCTGAAAAGTACAAGCATGCATATGTACTCAGTACTTGGTTTGGGCCCCTTTTGCAGCACTTACTGCAATTACTTTTGCACGATATTCTAATTATTCGAGTTTCACCTGTAAGTAAACAAACAAGTGACATGCAAAAGAAACTTGCTTATGTCACAGAAATGCTGCACTTTGCTGGAAAAATATTTTAGAATGCAGCATTCTAATGAAGCAACCTTTGGGAGGCAAGCAGAACATGCAGCTATGGAGATTTATCTTTTGTCATAACTAATAGAAGGTCTGCAGTAAACTGCCAGCCTGCAAGGTACCAGGATAGAAGTGGGGCAATGTGACTAATTAACACACATGTAAATAAAAGATGTGTCATAGCTGATGTGATTTATCTGAATACAATTAAAATAGCTTCTTTTATGAAATAATAATTTTAATAAATGTAAGCAGTGGCAGATTTAGGTCAGCTTCATCGGCTTATAAAAATGGTAACCTAGGGGAAGACACTAGCATCCGATAATAAACGAGGGTAGGGTAAAGAAAGTGACATTGTCAGGGGCATCCAAGCATGTAAGAAAGTGTGGGGATAGGGAGTGTGGAAGTAGGAACCTCCATATTTTGGTAATGTGTGCAGAAGCTTGTAATGATTCCTGCAATAATTACATACTGGCAGCCTCCCACGGTCCCACCATAAGCAAAATTCAGATGTCAATGAATCACATAACTGAATATGATTTTGCTAAAAGCATTGTGCTGCAACCATCACGACTATTCTCTCCTTGGTGCCTGTAGTTGAGCTGGTGCTACCCTGCCAAGTAGAATGGTTGTCACACTGGGGCAGCTTCTTTATTCTTGTGCCAGTCAAGTGCCAACTGCATTCAGTGCAGTGTAACTATATGAGTTTATGTAAAAGCAGTCAACTTGATATTCCCCAGGTATTCATTGCAAGTGAATCTTCCTCGTGTGTTTTAAATGACAGTGATTGATTCACCACCAGTAAATGTTTGATAAAAAACCATATTCACTCCTTTTATAATTATGCCCTTAGGACTTATCTAATGGATACATCTATTACAACGTACCTTTGCCCCACATTTGTTTTCATTAGTGTTCCTAAAATTAAAGTAAACTTTTAAAAAATACAATTTTTATCAACAATGATGAATAATAATTTATTTTGCTTCCATCTCCACAGTTATATCTAGCTACATGACTGGGGCCAGCACAAATGGTGGCAAGGTTGCTCACTGACACTTGACTTGGACAAATACAGTTGTAAATTACATATTCCGTGTACACATTCTCAATCAAGAACATTTCTGAAGCATAAAATGAGATCTGGTACATTGCACTTTATCTGTATGTACTTCAAATATCATGTATACAAAACTGTTTATTTTGGCATTTACTGTACGTTATCATGAAAGTAGAAAAGAAAATGACCTAGAGAAATAATTAAAAAATTTCAACTTACAATAGATACATCATAGTAAGAAAACAAATGGCTTTCTTTCAAGTTTCATTTTTACAAAAAAGAACATTGTAATATATTAACAAATCATTCAATAGTAATAGGCAAATTAGTTATATATGAAAAAAATGTAAAATTGCCAAATAGATTTTTACAAAATTGAAACTATAAACAGTCACAAAATATATAAAAATGCCACATTGAACGAGGCAATCGTACTCTATCTAAAAAGATAGCCTACTCTTTTACAGTCCTACTCAAACAGTAGTGACTGATAAAAAGGCATTATGTACTCTGGAACCCTCAGGAGATCTTTCACCGTGTGTCATAAGTTCTTGGATTGTCATCCAGTTGTCTAAGATCTTTTTGTTCCGCTTTTTCATCATTTTTCTGTGACTTAGTTCAATTATACTGATTTCTTTTTTACTTTCACTGCCGCTTTGTGGGCTTTCTTTAAGACACTCAAGTCTACTGCGCATCATGAATTCTCTACGCCTTCTCTGCTCTTTTGCCCTCATAAGGTGCTGTTTCCTTTCCTCTTTACTCCAGTATCGTCCCATTTTCATCTCACTCATCATATCATCATCTGTTGTCATACCACTCCTCTCTTCTTTGATTTTTAAGGCACGCTCTTTCAGAAGTTTGTCTCTTACTGGCCTTTTAGTGATATATCTCGTGCCATCACTCCTTATTTTTACTTTCCATTCCATCCTTGGCTCCAATGGCCTTTGAGAATCTCTGCACATTGTTACTAGATTTAGCTGGCTTTGTGCATATTCCACCGCAGTTTTCTGTTGAACAAGTTGCATGTAACTTTGATAATGTCTTGCATGGACTGGTATATTCCCATATCTATATGATGAACTGTGGTATGGTGAAAGATAAGGGATTTCATCTGGGACTGGTTTCCTATGATCTAAGAACTTACTACATTCTAACATATTATCTTGGTATTCTGCTGGAGAGTTCTGCCCGGTAGTAAGAGATTTGGTTGGAGTATACTCAATACTGCTCAGTCCAGAAGTTAAATGGTTTGTCACAATGGTGCTACTGAGATTTTTCCGGTTTGTGATACTAATTATTCTCTGTAAGGTGCTTTCTGGGGACTTGCCTACAGTCAGTGGTGTGCTCCTACAACTTTCTGCTGTGTTATACGCACTAGAACTGTCCTTATCAGATCTCTCTGTGTGCTCTCCGAGATTACCCACTTTGTCTCTCTGTAAGTCTGTGCTAGTGTTATAATTGCACAAATCATCACTGTGAATTTCCAAAATATCGCTGGTTTTATTTCTAACATTTTGGAGCCGGTGCGCCTGCATTATACTTTGGCACTCAAGTTCAATGCTTCTTAACTCTTCATTCAAAAGCTGTAACTCATGTTCAACTCCACAAGGCTCTGTTGTGCTACATTCAATAGTGCTGCTTGAGTAGTACAGGTCATACTCTCCTCGGTTTCGGATTTGGCACTTCAGCTCTAACAGTTGTCGAAATCTTTCACACTCCTCTTCTTGACTAATAGTAGGATCAGAATCTATATATTCCCCAGAAACCATACTGTCATTGAACTGGAGTTCAATACTTCCTAATGTATCTTGACTTTGTCTTAGCTTTGGGTTTTTCTGAAGACAAGTGATTCTGTGATCTTTCACTTTATTTTCCATTTCAGAGCTTTCATCATGGTGCTGACTTTCATCTGTACGTCCTACACCACTGTCTTTTTCATGGTTATTGGACGACGAAGTTGCTGTGTCAGTTGTACCATCTTCCTCTTCTGGCTTTTTCTGCTGAGGAAAGGAAAATATTTCATTAACTCACTTTAGAGTATTGCAACCTCAGCAATACTAACTAGAGCATGGAATTGTGCCTTAAAACAAATACAGAATTAACAATTTCACTATTAGTAAAAGTGCTTACAAAACCATTCTCATGATTTCCTTTACTTTTTGTAAACAAAAAGGAAAGACTGCGTTTGTGGAAGAATGGCCCTAGTGTACAGAAAGAGAAAAATACAGAAAGTGGTCACTTTAAATAAGGAACATATACATATATATACACACGCACACACAGTATATGTGTGAGGCATACAAGGTTTGCAGAAAGACTAGGGGGGCAATGTTCTGTAAAAGTGCTGTATTATGCCTTACATGGGGAGATAACAATAAAACTGCTATATTAATTTATCTGTGTGCATTTATTTACTTAGTTTTACAATATGTTATAGATATCAGGCTCAGTATGCTCTAAGCATATTTAACAAAAAAATATCAAAATTTAGGAGTTATTGCACATGTAAGAATCCTAATTCCTTAGGTGTACACATATAAATGCAAGATTATGGCTCATTTGTAAATTGTTGATCACTGCAAATGTCGGCATCTAAAGTAAGCTTGGCTCCTCATAGAATATGCATTTTAAATTATCTCTCTGCATGCTTGCTGAATCTTTAAAATGCCCAGGTATACCAATCTTGGGTGCTCTGTTATGTAACTATCAACCACAACTTTGTTGATATGTAACCTGCCTGCTCCCACCTTCCCCCTTCTCTTCCAACTTCAACCTATTAGAAAGTGATTTTGCTAACCACATTTGGTGGCCAACAGGAAGATGCATAAGGTCGAAGAAGATAGGATGGATCTGGACCATGGGAGTTTAAGGTGATATTTGCACAATAGAGGTTCAGCATAATGCAAAAGAAAGAAGAAAATACATTGAGGGGAATTTACCAAAAATGGAACAGACAAAATCTGGAACAGCTGTGCTTGGCAACCAATCAGCTTCTCCCTTCATTTAAGATTTGAAAAGGAAAAAGAAGGGCTGGTTGGTTGCCATGCAAAGCTGCTCCAGATTGTGTCTGCTTCAGGGATAAATTCCATTCATTGTTTTCAACATGACCTGTTCACACCAATGCATTATGCTGCAGTTCATTGGGTAAAAAGTCCTGAATGAGGCATTTTGCCATTCAAGTCAACTGAATGACATGCATTATTGAAACGAGAATGAGTTAATGCATTTATTTTTGGTGTAAATCCAGCATTTGGTACACCTACTACTAGTAGCCTTCTTTCTTAGTTCAGTCAGCATATTCGGTGCTCTCTTAAATTTAACTTGTGCGCAGAATATGCACATAAAATATATGCAAATTCTGAGCAAGCAGTATAAGCCCTTTAAAACAAGTCTCCATTCAGTTCTGTAGCTGCAGGCATTGTGGGGAAATTTTTCTTCAACGTTCAGAACAGAGACACTGAAACCACATTTCCTTTCCCCTTTACTTTCAATGGAGAGATGAATCTTAGCAGCCCCCCCCAGCCCTCTGATGTAAACACATAGCAGGTGCTAGAAACTGACTGAAAACTAACTTAAGCATCTTTGTTGTGATCCTTGAGGATTAATTACTTTATGGTACATATAGCTAGAGAGATCAGGGGTGACTTGTTTTAAAGCTCTTTGCTGCTTGTTAAAAAATATAAATACTTTAATATGCATAGTATGGGCACAGAGGCCCTTTGATGCCTGATGGAGAAAGTCGGTTATACAATGGGACTATAAAACAAACCTGGCATGTAATGATGACTGTTGTCTTCATTAGTGGTTGGGTGTAATCTTTACTAAACCCAGTGGAGTAGTATGGTTGTGTACTGGCACCACTTTCAGCTCAGTAAAGTACTGTAACTAGAAATCAAGTGACTAATATGTTCTGGGTGCAGTAAAATACAGTTTTATTAAAGCAGGACTTACTGAGGCTGAGAAGCCCAAAGGAGATCATGATTACTTCTAACACAAGAGCACTTCTAGTAAATGCCAGAATTATCAGGATTCCTGTAAACATCTGCTTACAGTGGGGGGTTAGCTTTACTGTATCATGTGAACTCTGAAATTGTTGGTATAAAAGGAAGCTATATTTTTCTATGATAAATGAGACTGAGTTCTCCTAACATGGAAAAAAAACCAGAAGCTAGACAATAGTCTTTTTTGGTGAGTAAGGGAATTGGGGGTTAAACCGAAACAAGAATCAGCTGTCACACAGATACAAATGACAAAGAGCATGTGTTAAAACCTATATTGATTAATACGCATTGTTGTAAACTATATATGATTCTACAATAATGACTAATATAAAATGAAAACTTTGATTAGAAAAATCCAATTGTTTCCACCATTTTTAGCTATAGTGGTTTCTTACAGCACTGACTACTGTGAAGCTGAGTGCAGCAAATTCAGATGGATGGAAGCTACAGAGGGTCCTTCTGGTTAGCTGGCACTGGAATGCAGATGTTATCCACTACTTGATTTTTAAAAAACTTTTTGGCTGCTCAGACCAGATGTAGAAGAAAAGGCTCACTATGCATTCATATGCATAAGGCAAACGGTCCAAGCCCTCGTTAAGAGTGATTGTTAGAGAAAGTGGAGCGAGTAGGAGGCTCTGCTGTGATAGGCCAAATAACACATTTGTAATAAAAAAAGTACTGGTTGGCATGGGCAGTGCGTGGAGATAGAGAGGAAGAGCAGAATGCGTGCTAACATGTGTGTGAAATACTATAACGGATAAGTTATTTGTTGATGAGTGACTGCCATAGCTAGTATAAACCGTGACCACGCATACATGATTGTGCTGTACTTGCAAAACATTCATAAAAGCATCGTTAACAATCCTGCAGGCAAATCCTTGTTTATAGGGAAAAAACAAGTTATGGAAAGACATTGTATGAAACAGTGTTATAGCGTGTACTTCGGTATTCATTTGTGTCTGCAGTAGGAATGTGATAAGAAGTCCAATTCAATTGTATCCCTTGAAAAGTAGGTTTGCTGAGGAGGTGCATCCTCCATGTCCGACCTAAAGAGGAGATTTCATCCAGAACTATGATAAATACAAACCTTTTGTTTACTGGATTCCTTAATGAAACAAACTTATAACTCAATGGTACTACTGAATGACAGCACTATAAGATATCCTGTTTTTTTTCAGTAGCAAATGGTCCCATTGGTATAATTGTGTCAGACATTTACACTGCATTGGATTTTTAGATCTTCAAACAAACATACTATAGCTTAGTTCAGCTAGATTATTATCTCCTAAAAATTACATTTACATTTGGGCCATCGTTATCAGCAATTTAGATTATTTCAATAGCTTTTAAAATGCAGAAAGACAGACAAAACCTGTCCAATTGAGGAAAAAGTTCTAAATCCACAGAATGCTCAGGGCAATATGTCAGTGGGAATTGGTATAGCACAACTTATATGCAAGTATAGCCGTTTTGTAAAGGGGCACTTTTATAAGAGCTAAAAATGTCTTCTCCCAGTATAGAAAAGAAAAATAAAATTAATACAATTATGTTATATTGCGTGTTTAATAATGCGTGTTACATTGGAAGTTTATTCTATTGTACCTGTTGCACTTCATTAGTGGTGTACTGCACTGATTCATTATGTTGTTCCTCCAGCATCTGCATGTTTAACTCTTCCAAGAATTCGTTCCTTTCATCATCAAGCCACCCTTCATCCAGCTGTAAAGAATACATTAGTACATCACATTAGTACTAACACATGGTAATGTGGCGCAGGCCCTAATAGCAATGACTGACCACTTCCTTTCATCATAATGACTCTTTTGAAACACTCTGCTTTACACCAAAATAAGAATGATAACATATTCATCTCCAGCGCCTTTCATCCTTCACATAAACAATAAGACTCAATTGTTGATAATGTTGGTATCCCATAACACATTGAAAGATATTAAAGTATCAATAAACAGTAGTAAATGAGTAAGTGCATGGTGATCCTGCTAGTGTCAGCTCTACTGCATGGTAGGAGGTGGTTAGAGACAAAACTACTCATATTCTGAATTCATTTTAATCTTCACATCAAAGCTAAATGTGCTGGAAAATGTTAAAATTACTTCAGCTCTAATGCCAGTAAAAAAAAAAAATGGCCTTGAATCAATGGGGGGTTCTCTTCATCCTCAGAAAAAGCCACAGAGCTGAAAAATATTGTAGGCTTTCATGGCAGTCTAAGCCACAGAGAAAAATAGGGTTAACTATGTTACAGTTCATCCACACACATATGGGAGCACTGACAGATGCAAGTCTAGAAGACTGAGCGATCAGAATTAGAGACATCCCATGTAATTTTGGCTTTTACACCCTCTTACTTTATGTCACAGCTCGCTGTCTCCAAAACCAACCTGTGTCACTATTTGCAGTGAATAATGTTGCAACTGAGTCTCAGTGGGATCACTCTGCTGTTTTACACCAAAGGCTCATTCTTGATTCTTGTTCATTGGTGCAAACACTTTCGAACTCCACAGAAACCTGCCCTAGGCTATGTTCAGTCTGTGAGTTTAGACACTCTCACACTCCTCTTGCTGGTTCTTAGTGGGAAGAGTTGCTGCACACTACCTCTGAGGCCATGTCTGGGAAAGCTTTTTAAACCTGCCTCAATGATTCTAGTTATCCATATGCCCTGATCTTTTGCCTTTTTGACCACGACCTTGCCTGCTGATTTTGTATTAGGCTTCATTTATGCCTGCTGTCAGCTGTTGCCACTTCAAACTCTTGCCACTTCAATTGCCACTTTTTCCCATGTGGGTTGCTCAGGTGAACACCAGGCAGTTCTTTAGACCCTATGCCTTGGCCCTCTTTAAGGCCTACATTCACCTGGCGACAGAGAGGAGCCACTATCTCTGGGACACTCTAAGGTCAGTTTTCATTAAACTTTGCCCAAAAAAATGGCTTGACCAAAATCCTTTCTGAATATATATTCACTAATTCAAAATGAACCAAATACCATTCCATACCATTGGAATTAGGGAAAATTAAATTTCCCCCAACTAGCAGAATCTTTGTATCTGTCTTCATGTGCAGAGTGCATGTCTGACAGAGACAGAAGGAAATTAGGAAAATAATAAATAGAAAAACATCCATAAACAGAACCCTATGCCCACATTTAAACCACAGGAAGGCACACAAACCCTTTAAATAATGTTTAAATTTGCTCCAACTGGGAAAAAAATCCTTCCTGATCCCCTAAAAAAGTTATTTGTACATAAAACATTTTGTTTAACGGTTTATCAGACCCTTATTTAGCAGCTAAACATGAAAATGTTGTTAGTAAATATCAGTATCTACGTGCTGTATATAACATAATTATCAATATATGGCTTGTATGTAGTTAAACAAGGAAATCAAATTAAACATTATTGTTTATCACTGCATCCGTCTATATTTACTGGATGTTCTGAGATTTTTTAACTGTATTGATTATTTTATTGACAAAAACCATTATGCTCATCAAATGCAAGTATTTTAAGGTAGATTGTGGACAGGTTACATGTATTTATAATTAGGGATGACTAAATCAGCAGATCTGCTGATTCATCACTTTTTGTTCCTCCTGAATATCACAACTTAGGAAACCAGGACATATTGACTTATGAATTGTAAGATTCTATGTAGGCTGAACAAATCTGCATGCTTCTGTTTAGTGGAATTACAAAAGCACTGTTTCACTCAGTTTTCAATTTACTGATCACTCTTCACAATGATCATGTGAATTAGGGAACGTACTTATATACTGTATAATCATGTTAACACATTTATTTTAGAGATGGCATTCCTGTTTGTGTCATGTTTAGCTACAGTACTATTTTTATACAGAATATGCTGTCATCTGTTTATGATGGATGGAATTTATGAAAACAGACCATAGGGTAATGTGCAGATGAAAAAAGATGTGAAAATGAAATTGCTTCTCATTGAAATGTTTGTAGTTTAGCTTAAAGAATAAAAGGTTGATTGGTTCTATTTACTTTATTCTAATGTGTATTCACCTTAGTAGTTGACCATGTAGATACTGTAGTTCATATTTTTTAAGGAAGAATCTTTCCCACTCTAGCAAAGCAATAATGTCACGATCTACACCTGTCTCAATCTTTCGTCTTCTTTTTATTATCTTTGCACACAGTTTATGCCGGTTATCCTTGTGCTCAGCATCACTCTCCATTGTTGGTAAAGGGAAGGATGAGTATGTACTGCAGATCACACATTTTCAGCCTCACTAGATCAGACACATCCAGTTCTCAGATGTCAAAGAACTCATTTTCATTTGTGTCCTGACTTACATCTTTAATAGTAAGTGTAGAATATGTTTTTATTATTTTGCTTTATTCTGGACAGCCATTAAAAACGATCTGATATGTGGTTGCCAGTACACACAACTATTAGTGGAAAACAATGGATTTCAAAACCAGAAAAGAACATAAATAAAACAGAATCCAGACAAAAAGACAACCACAAAGTAAGTACATTTTACAAAGAACTTCAGATCTTGCCTTATGGTATTTACTCATGTATCTTTACTAACCGGTATGTCTGGCCTTGCTACCAGAAGGACAATTTTCCTACATTCATCACTGGAAAGTAAAATCACCGCCTCCTCTCTGTTCTGGATATCCTGGCCATTAATCTGCAAAAACCAATGGAACTTGTAAATGAGGGGCTGTTTTCACAAAGTAGCATGCAGTCAAATAGAAAATATCTACAACGTATTCAGGTGTGCCAAGCATATGGACAGCAGGACTCAAGCAGTGGTCTCATTGTCAGACTTTGGTGGTAAATACCTTCACTCAATTACACGCTTACCATACGAACAATATTGATCGGTGAAGGATGGCAAACATCAGAGGAAGCAGTTATGTTCATAAATGTCCAAGCTGCGCCCCAGTAACATACATCTAGCAACACAATTAACCAGCCTCTGACAGGTGACGTTCATCTTTCTCCGTTCAGAGTAATGGAAGTGTCACTCTGAGATAATAGTGCTGGTGGAAGGAAGGATGGCAATGCTAAAGCTAAAATCAGTCATACTGCAGGCTTGCACGAAGCCAATTAGAAACCTACACTATTATCTCTCACTGAGCAATGCTTAAAAGACAATGTTGATTGTAAATCAGGTTTATCATTTGAAAATCCTATAAAGCCAAAGTGCAAAGCAAACCAGAGATGAAAGACAATTTTCTAAAAATGATAGTTTTTGTTTTCTATTTATTTAATTTAGGTTTTAGTAGTGCAATGTGTAACTAGATCCATACATTACGTATAAATAATTGGATGGCTGTGTTGTCACTTCTGTCTGTTGTGCAGAAATATACAAAATGAATGCCACTCATTAAAATGCTTCATTACTTTAATATAATTCATATAAAATAAATATAAGAAGAATAGATATTTCTGTGGTTACTAAAGAGGTGGTTGGGCCTCTTATATACATATGGGGCATGACCTCGAACATCTGTATCATGATTCATGACCAAAGAGGCAGCAGATCAAGCACATACACGATGAAATAGCAGGCTTTGCATCACAGAAAAAGAGACCCAATTATAATAATGAACATCCCAGGAGTTTAGATAAAAAATGATCTCTGTGGGAAAATAAAATGCTGTACAAGCACAGTTTTTCATAATTACAACTAATTTTGTGTAAGGACAATTCATTTTGGAAGCTCTTCTGCCATCCAGGCATTCTGCTTATCCACAGAATTAAATATGAATTGGTGCTACTGTAATTCATGTGTTAATACTCTAGAGTAAAATTTTTGTAACTTGTAAGGAGCACAAAACTATGATTTTAGATTGAGAGATTAATATTAGATGCAGGCCGGTGTAACAAAGCTAAAATCACCTCAGACTGGTTCCTTGAACATGAAAAGGAGTTCACTCTACTCAAATGGCCACAGTCACCAGATCTCAATCCAATAGAGCACATTTTGGATGTGCTGAAACGGATTTGGAGCCCACAAATCTGCAGTAACTGCGTGATGCTATCATGTCAATATGGACCAGACAGAGAGAGAGAGAGAGAGAGAGAGAGAGAGAGAGAGAGAGAGAGAGAGAGAGAGAGAGAATGTGAAAAAGAAAGCACACCCTCTTTGGATGCTATGGTTTTTTGTATCAGGACATAATACAATCAAATCACCTGGCCATTAGAAGGTCTTAGAATTAGGCAAATGCAACGTCATATGAACAACAATACATGACATATTACATCATGTCATCATTTATTTTACAAAAACAGAGCCAAAATTGAGAAGCCTTGTGTGAAAAACTAAGTACATCTTATGATTCAAGAGCTTGTAGAACCACCTTTAGCAGCAATAACATGCTGCTTCAGTTCATTGAGGCTTGCAGGCATTTGTTTATGCACAGCACTCGTAAAGGGTTATTAACCCCTCGGTTAGCTCCACGTAACACCATTTGCCTCTGCTGCGTGTACAGTGTGTTCGCTGCCTGGCCATCGCCCCCATCTTTGTGCCCGGGGCAGCTGCACTGTCTTCCTCTCCCCATCCCAGTTGTTACTCCACTCACTGCATGCACACACGCAGTGCACATTACACACGTAGTGCACATTACACACGCAGTACGCACAGTGCACATAACACGCACATAACACACAGTGCACGCACGCACGCGCGCGCAGTGCACATAACACACAGTGCACATAACTCACACAGTACACATAACACATGGAGTGCACATAACAAACACACAGTGCACATCACACACAGTGCACATAACACACACACAATGCACATAACACACGCAGCACAGATAATAAACAGTACTTGGCTGCACATGGCTATTCAGCCAGTCTACAGTCCACTGTACTGTACTGTACTGTGAGCAGCCCTGGGGGGGGAGGAGGAGGGGGAGGCTGAGACATAGGAAGGATGGTTGTTGCTCCACTACATCCCGGCAGATAATTTCAGAAGCTTCCTGTACCTTCCTGCTGACACAGGCTATATACGCTCTGCTCACTGCTGGTCACAGTTCCTGGCCAGTGTGTCCCCAGTTCTCCAGCATCTCGAACTCTGTGCACTCCACGGGGTCACCTCATCTCTTTTTCCTGGATGGCCCGACCTGTCAGCATGCTTTGGGTGAATCCAGGAGTGGTGTGGGCGTGTCTGTCAGTAGCAGGAGAGGGAGGGTATGAGGAGGTGCAAGCTGCCCAACTAATCGACTGACCAAATAATTGATAATGAAAATTGGTGACAACAATTTTCATTATCGATTATTATCGATTAGTTGTTGAAGCCCTAGATAAATCTCACTTTTTATAGCAAGCCTTTAGGTGCTAAAACTAAAAATATATTGCTATCTCTCACTAAGCCTAGTAAGGAAAACTAGCACAGAATGTTATTTCAACAAAGTCAGTGTAAAAGTGAAAGCGCTAAATTGGTCTATCCTCCTTAAATGTTTGTGGGCAATATAAGCACTGGGTTATATTATCATATGAATAACAATTAAAAAAAGATTATATATTAATGGTAAAAAAGTAGAAATAGAAAAATAATTAGCAGCAAAATCCTAGCGAAGGAGAGAAGAGGAAGGAGCTAATAAAGGTTGATTTTGTTTTGCAAACGGTTAATAAGGGGTTAAATAGGAAGATAGTTGATTTAATTTTTTTTTGTTTTTTTCCCAAGATTTCTTTAACTGAATATCATATGCAGATCAAAGGTCACACTTTGATCTGTTATGATTGAATCAGTAGAGTAGTTACAATGTAGTGACAATAACATTGTAACTCTTTTTGACACTGCAGACACTGTTTTGGGAGTATAATGTACAGTCAAAGTTGCAAGATCTGCTCCCGTGATACAAAACATCTCATTGCGGATAAATGGGTCCAGGGACAGCAGGAGAGGAGAAGGAGCAGGGTGAACTACAAGCAAGGTATTTTGATGAAGTTTTTTTTTAGGCATGTGTAGTATACCCAACTTCCAAAGTTGGTTAAATATAGAGTGCCACTCTCCTGAAGCCACTTGGTAGAGGGTCAGCAAATGATTTTCCACACACATGGCCATCTTGTAATACGAAGGCCTCATGAGTGAAGGCTTAAGTAGCACAATTGTACTTTGGTTTTTAATGACCCCCCCCCCCTTCAATGCTGTCTACTAAGTGTTGTACTTACCATCGGTCTTGATCAAAAGATCTTCACTGTTTGACTCCACTCTAAGCCATGCAGCCTTTTCTCCCATGCATTCTTATGGGAAACCCATACTCCGAGTGGCAGCTTGAGGCTATAATGAGTACGGCTTTCCTATAGGAATGAAAGTGGCTGCAGTGCACATGACCAGTATAAAGCGGCCATTTTTTAAAGTAACCCCGTCACAAGAATAAACATAAATACATGTAAATGAAAATGTATGTTTACTTCGTAAAGTGAATAATGGTAAATGTGAACTTGTGTTAAATTTGAATACCCAATCACCTACTAGAAAAAAACAAACAAACACAGGATTTCTGCTAGCACAAGATTGGGTATTCAAAGTAAATGATGCAGGTTCACATTTTTTACTAATATTAATTTTGCAAAGTTAAAATCACCATGCTGAGTGAACAGTCTCAAGTAAAACAACCCCATTATATATATATTTCTACTCTGAAATTGACTTTCAGTTAGTATTCTCTTAGCTAAGACTAATAAGTCCGGTCCTGCTCGTGTATAATGTGACCTACTGAATACAATAGGGTCCAATGCATGTATATGGGCACTCATGAGGTATTATCAGTGTTAAGGGCACTTTAATATTTTACTAAATTATTTTCATTGATAATGCTGAATAACTGGATTTATTTTTAAAGCAAATATGCATTTGGCAAAATATTGGGGTTGTGAAAATAGATATTTGATGTCTAGAGACAAAGGTTTAATTACAGTAGAGTTTAAATTAATTTCAGTTACTACACAAACCATCTGGCCTTATGAGACAACGCAGAAGAAACAGAGAATACTTTTTTTCAGACAAACAGTAAATGAATGTGATATGTGATCATTGTGCTGTTAACTTCTGCTGAAATGAGTAATGATATTGCCTGAGCTCCTATCACCCTATCACAGCCCTGTCTACTACCATACATGTTTTAGGAGATGCTATCCTTTCAGTGCAGAGTATTTTTTTCATTTTCTTAGATTCACAGACTTTTGGATAAATATATTTGAGCACTAATATATCATGTGTATACATTTAAGATTAGCCCTGGTAGGGACAACTATTGTTCTTTGGATTCTCAGAAATATATTTGATTTGCATTTTCATTTAATTGAATTGACACCTGAGGTGCACATAGAAGAACAGTATGTCATTTTATATTAACTAATCTCCACCCTGTGTACAAGACAAAATACAGTTTCCAAGGCTGAGAAATATCTGACCACTGTAACTGGATACTGATTAGCCAGGAAGGTAGATGTGGTTGTACAATAACTGCAGCTGTCTCTTGATCATGTTTACTGACCGTTGACCTTACTGATGTTCCTATAAAACATGGAAGCACAGATAGATTGGATATCACTATGGATTTTTTAAACTGATGCTGAATGATACTTTTATAGATACTGCAGGGGAATCAGAGGATTTAAGGTGACTTGCTGGAGAGCTCAAAAGTAGGAGGAAGGGCAGTCAAA